TTTTTATTTATTTTTTATTTTTTGTAATAGAAAGCCAGCAGTGCTGGCAAATTTATTTATACGAAGGGGAGACCGTCAATCTATTACATATGTAGCCAATATTAATATTAATTATATATACAAGACCAATAAGCAAAAAGATGAGGTATAGTGTTTCGTTCACGTCCGACATGTTCTATCTGAACCTCCTCAAAGGATCTTAGTAAAGTGTATATATGATCTAAAAGCATTGTTTTGATCCAGTTGCCACTGTATTCTTTAATTTCAATTTTTGTCACCACTTGCGCTGCATAAAAAAATATGACTTTTTTGAGTCCTTCCTTTTTAGCTGCTTCAAGTCTTTTGATTATGGCATGGAGCTCAACATCTTGGCATCTAGTTGCTTGACATGGAACTCCTTTTGCAGATATTAGATGGTTCTCTTTAGACACTATAGCATAAGCTACACTAACATGTAAGCATGAAGATTTAAATGAGCCATCAACATATATGCTAATAAAATTCGAAGGCCTAAGATGACTTGAGGAACAACTTTGCCGAGTGGAAGAGCTCCCAAAGTTTTCTTTGTATAACAAATTTAACTTTTCCAACACCTGTATAGGGGATGCAAGTGTATTTCAAAATTTCCTCGAGTTTTGCTCATCCCATATGAGCCTTAAGGTAATGCAGAATTTGGAAAAGTAGTGATCAAGTTCCTTCTTAATCATATTTAGTTTGAGTATGTTCCACCAATAATGAATGATGAGATGAAAATGTTCTTGTTGAATGTTTTCTGGGTTGATGCCTAGTTGGGCACCACACCAAATAGCCCTAGAAAACAGGCAATGGAAGAAGATATGGTGAAAGGATTCCTGTTGAGAATTGCAAAGGTGACATCTATCCTCCATTTTCCTTATGAGAAATATGCTCTGGATAGGAGTTCCATTCCATATATAGAGCCTTCCATATAAAAAGTTGATACATGTATGGCATCTTTAATTTCCATAAAATAGACCATTTAAAAAAGGAATCTGATGAGGAAGGCCTAATATAAAGAAATTCTTTATAAATGGATTTGACCGAAAAACTCCATTCTAAATTCTTGTCGAGACAAACTTATCCCTTGGAAACTCACTTAGGAGTCTTACTTTTTGAACTTGCTGTAAAGCTAAAGGAGGAAAAAACTGTTCAAGTAAAAACAAATTCCAATTGTTATCATTATTTAAGAAACAAGAAACCTTCATATCTTTTAATTGTGTGGAAATTGAAGATCCCATGGAAAACTTGGAAACCAGGGGTCTTGAAAAGCCTTTGCCTTTTGACCATCATGAAGGACCCAACATATATTGTTTTTTATGGAAGATAGCAAATTGAAAACTTCCCTCCACACCAGGGCGAACAATTCATTTTCAGTTTGACTTTGAAAATACTATCTGGGATAGCATTTAGCTTTGGTAAAGCTTTCACAGAGAGAATTCCCATCACTTATGAGCCTCCAAATTTGTTTTGAGAACATAGCCTTGTTCATTACTAGGCCTAGTCTAAGCCCAATTCCTCCTTTATGCTTTGGTTGAATGAAAATTATAGTCATCTTAAGAGCTTGTCCACTAAAAATCCCTGCATAATTTATCATAATGTGAAATGAACTTTGGCAAGATAGTTGTACTCATAGCGTAAATAGGAACAACTTGAGCTACTAATTGTATTAAGGTACTCCTTCCCGCTTGTAAGAGAAGTTTTGCTTGCCAAGACTCTAATTGAAGTTTTAGCTTATGAAGCAAGTCTTGTTGTTGCTCATTTTCTGCCTTATTTCCCCCATTTTGTTGCCAAGGTATTTCATGTAGGTCTTGACATTTGTAATACCTAGAATTGAAGATAAGATTCTTCTATGACTTCTGGGTATATTGTTACTAAAAAGTATACCTGATTTGGAGATATTGATTTGTTGGCCTGATAATTTTCCAAATCTATTTAGTATGGCCTTAAGATTATAAAGCTGTTGAGGAGTGGTTTCACAAAATAGTAAGTAGTCATATGCAAAGAGCAAATGACTAATGCTAACATTTGAACACTTTAATTTGTAACAAAAAATGAGACTTGAAGCTTCTGCATCCTTCAATAGTGAAATAGGTACCTGCATACCTATGATAAAGAGGTAGGGGGATATTGGGTCCCCTTGCCTAATGCCTCTTTTTAATTTGAAGCAGCTTCCTACTGAATGTCTTAATTTGACAACATATGAAGGTGTTGAAATACATTGTTCAACAAGATTACACCATTTAGAAGGAAACTTCATAGCTCTCAATGTCTCTATAATGAAAGACCACCCCATCCTGTCAAAAGCCTTTGACATATCTATTTGTAAGGCAATCCAATGCTTACCTTTATGTTGTTTTCTCATTGAGTGTAGGATCTCCTTAGCAAGTAGAACGTTATCTGAAATCTATCTTTCTTTTAGAAAACTAGCTTGGTTGGGAGCAATGATGTCTTGGAGAAGTGGTTTTATCCTGTTAACCATCTATTTTGTAACAATTTTGTATAACACGTTGCAGAAACTGATCGGACGGAACTGTATTGGCTCTGTAGGAGATTTAACTTTAGGTATGAAGACTAGATTAGTATTGTTAATTTCTTTCAGTATATGTTCATTGTTGTAGAAATCTAAAACCATTTGGTAAATCTTCTATTCAAGGAAAGACCAAAGCTTTTGATAGAAAAAAGTAGAATATCTGTCAGGCCCTAGAGCCTTATGTGGGTTCATTTAAAATAATGCTTCTTTGACTTCATCACATGTAGGAGGCCTCATGAGGGTGAGAATTTAAGAGTTTATCAAAGTCGGGAGTGAAATGTTATTCAACCCTTCCTTGGTAAATAACCCATCTACATCACCCACTTCTAAGAGATGAAATGTGAACTTTATCATATGATAATATCATCAACATAGACCAAAACCAAAACATAGCTCTCATCAAAGTGAAGAAGGATAATCAACACGCTATGGATTGGACGAATCCTATCTACTTGAGACCATATAAGGATTTATTTAAGCAACATACATGACGATCCCTACAATGAGAAAATCCTAATGGAATCTACATGTACACCTTCTCAAGAAGGTCTTCATGCAAAAATACATTATTAACATCAATCCAATGAAGTGCCCAACCATAAAAGTCATAGGGCTTGGTTGATTTAAGGGAGTGCCCGTTCACATCAGTTTGATGAACTTTGTGGAAGAAAAAGTTGGGTTCCACCATAGCTAGGATTCTTTTGGCATGGCTCAATGTGAAAGTGAGGCAATTAGCATCCCAACTAATAGAGATGTATTGTAAGAAAAACATAACAAACCGGATTTCCTGCCCACTACTCTCTACCCACACTCTACCTGCTGTGAATTACAACCACACATACCTATCTTGTGTTGTAAGATGTGCGGCAGGCTGCAATGTAAGAAAGTGAATAGGAAACCTGGGTTTCAAACATGATGCTACTTTCTTCATTTTTGTCAAAAGCTTCAAAGAAGAAGAAACTTATTTTAAAAATGCACAAGTTTTCAAAATCGCCCAATCCTATCTAATCCCTTACTTTCTCATTTGTTCTCCTCCCAGGATCCAAATTAAATTAAAACCATTCGTCATCCCCACTAAGCTCTACTAACCTCTACTACAAATGCTATTCAAATATTTATATTTTATTACACATGTGACTCTCATTTCCACCGAAATTAAGATACCATTTATGAGAGCACTATCTGCCCTTTTGACCTTCTAATTTATATGCTACATTTTCCCGTGGAAAACCCCTAGCATGTTGCATTAGGTGAGTGAGATATTCACGTATTATCATCTTGTTGTCATGCTTATTTCATTTGATTTACTCCAATAAAAGGGACTATCTCTCTCTCATAAAACCTTTTATTTGTTTGATCATTTCAAGAAAAAAAATGAATGATTCTGTGTTTCTCTCAAACACTTTATTTGTTAGTTCATCATGATACGTGGTGATTAAAAATTGTTCCGGAACTAGTTTGCATGTGACTGATCCCACTTTTCATCACGGTCAAGTCTAGCAACATGGAGACATGAAACAACCATCAAGTGGGTCCACTGAGACAGGGGATCCTACAAAGGAAGTCCACCATAAACAGGGGCACCCCTGCCGCTGCATTATTGAGTGGATATTGTTCTTTTTCCTTTTTCTAATCATGTCCTCGTTTTTCATAGGTATTGGAATAAACCTGATGTAAGGATTCCAACTAAAACAGAAAACTAAGATATACAAGATGACATGTTTACTCGGGAGAGATTTAACTAACCCTTCATAAAATTATTTAATAACACTCAGTGTGTGGTTCATCTTTGTAATTTAAAATCAACTATAACTCCAACAAAGTATTATCATTCATGCTTATCCATGCTCACCATTTTCATTTTATATATCTTAGCTAGTCTTGTAGGATAAGAACCAACTAGAAACATTTGGTTTATCTATCCAACACTTCGTATGTCCCTTGCCTTCAACACATGTGCCCATGAATAAAGTATTAATCATACATGATATATCATATTTGGAATTTGGATTTTATTTAGAGAGAGAGATTTGCTAATGTATTCATACATCATATAATTAAGGCTATATACATATACACAAATAAATGTGTACGTATATTCATACATAACAATATCTCTAAGACAAAACTATTTATAATTCATAGACAATTTCTAAACGGTTATAAGTAAATAGTTTCTAAATATTTATAAATAGACAGTTTTTGAAGTGAGAATAAAGAACATATATATCATCTTTATGCCTTAGACAAGGGGATATAATATGTCCAATGACAATTCCAAAAAAAAGAGGCATTGGCTTTTTTTTATAGATAATATATATATATATATATATATATATATTTATATATATATATATGTATGTATATGCGTAATTATATATCTAAATAAATATCATACGTATTTCTAAATTATACAAATTTAAAATCTCATCATAATGTAAAGAAGGGAATATAGCAAATGAAAGTCAGATATATAAGTTAAATTGCTTCCGTGAAAAAATTTAAAAAATGGAAAATTTACAAGACCCATTTGGGCATTAAATTTTCTAAGTTTCCAGCGGAGCCCAAGTGAACCCATTTAGCAGCCACCTAGTGCTAGTGATATATCTTTGTATCAAACCAAGCCAAACTTTTTAAGGCGCAGCAGGAGCAAGGCTGAGATGCAAATCCAAGCCTAAGGCGTCATCAAAGGTGGATACACCGTCTCCACCAGAGAACCTACTCAACGATGGGACAACCATTCCTGCATGAGCTCGAACCTGAGACCCGTGCGTCGGCATGGACTCTCCTCCCACCCGTACGACCCCGGTGTACATCAGCGTCGTAGGCGCTCTCCCGGCACCTGCCGGAAAAACGCAGCTACCATGAGAAACTTGGAAGGTCGGCGCCGCCCGTGATGACATGTAAACCCAAGAAGGCGATTGTGGCATCCCCGCCGGAGCGAGGAAGTGAGACGGCGGGGAAAACGCCGATATCGTTGGGTTTCTAACGTATGAAGCGGCGGAGTTTCTACCGGCTTGCATTTGCGCGCGCTTTAGCTGCTGTCTTTCTTTTTTGTGAGCGTTTTGGTGGCCACCCAATGCTTGTGAGTTGGCAAATTCACGGCAACAGTACTGACACTCGAATTTCCGGCTGTCGTTGGGCAGGAAACCGCTAGATTCCGGTGACCCAGATGGAATTCTGCCTGAACCTACCTCGTCCTCTTCTGAAACATCAAAGCCAAAGAGCTTCAAGCGTACGTTGTTGGTGGGATTGTTTGGTTTGGTCTGATACTCGATTTCTGCCATCATCACGCAAGATTCTGCAAGAACGAGCAAGGGACTAGGGAGTGAACGAGAGAGAGAGGAAGGAGGAGGAGGAGAAGAAGAAGAAGAAGGGTTACAGACTTACAGTTAAAGGAATGACATGAGACTGATGGGTTCTGTTGGGAGGGATCAGAGGAAGAGAAAAGTGCGAAAGTAAGACAGAAGAGAAGAACTGGGTTCTAAGTGAGTGGAAGCATGACTAGCTATTTATATAAGATGTATAAAGCTCCCGTACTCCTGCTACACAGTAACAGTAGACGGAGATTCACAGATAAAAATTAAATAAACAAAGAAAGTGCTCGTGTTGGGAACATAAACGAGAAACACTCGCTCCAGTTGGCAGTTGGGTCTTAATTACCTAAACACCCTTTATTATAATCTCGATTTCTGCAAGCTAATTAATACTTTACTAGTTAATACATTAGTTAATTATGTGTTATAGATTTTTCCAATGTATCATGTCTACAAGTTGAAAGCTACCTTACGGAATCCAATGCATTGGGCCCACCTCGGGATTATAAACCTCAGAGTCCATAGTGTACGTACAAACATGCGACAACTTCTTCAATGTATGGACTGCACCAATGGCCCACAACGGGTTAGTCTCGTAATCCAATGGGCTCAATTAGGCCCATGTTTCAATTGGCTAACAACTGAAAGTCTTCCTCTTCTCTTCTTCCATATTTCTATCTAACACCATCAGTCTCAGACATCTTTTCTCCACTTTCCACGTGGCAACAGCACGAGGTCCATGTTTATACAATCTCCAACTCCAAGATACCCCTGTTTCATGGAAACGAGATTGGAATTTGGAAAGCTATGCTTCTGAATGCTTAGGTGTTACGTGGCCCCACCGTGACGTGTTGATGATGGACCAACGTTTAGTGGGTTTGCGTGATTGACGTTGAGGTTCGATTTTGTTTATAGTATTTTTTTTTTTCTTTGGGGAGATCTCCACGAATCTTACTAACCACGACGAAAGGTGTCTCGGTCTTTTTCTACGAAGAGAGAAAGAAAATACATAGAAGAAACTAGAAAGAGATCTTTTTATAAATCCCACTTCAAAAGCAGTAAATCACAGCATATCATTCCAGACAACTCAACCAAAATCTTCATCGCAACTCCAAACCTGACCCACCTGTCTCCCTTTTTTTTCGTAATGACTTCTCTGCATCTCTCACCGATTGAAAATTTCCCATAGAAGAGGAAATTCATCTTCTTAATGACAGTTGGGTTTGGGAATAAAGCCTACATATTAGATTAAGATAAAAGGATAAATTAGTGGGATGGGTTTGTTTTGGATCTGGGGCTTCAGGGCCTGTTATTGACACGAGGCACTCACCTTGCCACGTGTCACATGTTGAGAAGGAAGGGTGCTTGCACCAGAATCTGGTATGGTACATGACTTTTAACCATCTCATTTGTGCATTATTTTTAGAGCTTTATAGGAGTAGTGGAGTACTTCACTACAAAACATGTTAATCATTCATTTGCTCTTGTAAAAGCCCTAAAAATCCACTTGGACCGTACATATGGAATATTGTGTGGGACCTAATTTTATTGAGACCTAATTGAAATACATTGATTTGTAAAGCATAAAACCAAGAAAAAGCCAAAACATAACCATTGATCTGGTACTTTTTTCCACCTGTCTGATTTTTTTTATGGGGCTACACTATGGGATTGATGGGTTAATACTGTTAAAATGTCACCGCATAATGTAATATGTGTATAATGAACAAACTGGGGTTGATGGGTCAAGCCAAAAGTCAACAAAAAAAAACTAATGATTGTAACCATCTGATCTAATCTGATAACAATGGAGATTCTTACGAGGAATATTTGGTATTATTTTTTTTCCTTCTCTGACTCATTGAGTGGTTGATTGACTTGATTCTGGCATTCCTCCTTTCTCCCCACGAAAACTAACAGATTTACAATTCTTCCAAAAGAAAGTTACCCTCAAAAAATAAACTTGTTTCGGTCGTTTCTGGACTGTAAATCCTCAAGCCGGACCAGACCATACGGTTGATCCGGAAAAGGTTTGGGATTGTCCCTGGAGAAACAAGTTGGAATAAATTCTACAGGAAAACCTGGTTGAACCAAACAGGCAAACAGCGCTTGATTGGCTTTTGTGGTGAACCAACTCCAACGGTTGTCAGAATTCACCACACCTTCAAGAGACTATCAAATTTGACTCATCTAAATTGATTCGATGGGTGTCCATGAGCCCATCAAGAAAAAAAATGATTGAAGGTGAGTAGGGTCCACAAACACTAAAATCAAAATTCAATTTTGGGTTAAAATTAACAACACTGAATATACTTTAAAAAAAAAATTAATTCAATGGGCTACCAGTGTAGGGCCAAAATGATGTTAGGTCCATGAACGTCCAATTTAGGAGTGGCCCACCACCACGGAGCCAACTTGTGAAAATGAGTTAAGTACTCATGCCCAAAGTCGATGATATTTAGCAGCTTTGAACTCTATGATTGAGCACCACATGGAGTTATATAAGTAATGACCCTCTACTTAAGTTTATCAGAAAAATATAATTGATGATGACTATCTAAGTTATTAGATTCAAAGGCCAATATGAATTGTGGACTCAAGTGCAAAATCAAATTAAATAAACCAGGAAATCATGTATGGTTAATCCGGCTGATCTAAGCCAATTGGACCAAACCTTTTGCTTAAAATCATAAAATCAACTTTACATGGTTTGTTGACAGGATTTTGTTTGATATATTTTGAAGGGCTAGACAACAGGGGTAGCCCATCCCCCAACCCAATAACCCCCCAAACTCAGATGCAGGCAGGATTCGATTCCAAGTCTCCACTACAACCAACAGAAAACCTTACCAGCATGCTGACAGTATAGAATTCAGCCGCACCATATTACAAGGAGATACTCGAGATGTGCAGCTGGATGCCATGCTCTCATAGTGTTCGCAAATCACACACTTTTTGCTTTTAAGAGATCCGGGCTCCATGATTTGTCCCTTCGGATCGAGAAGTCTAATGGAATTGGACCAGCCCCTTATGGGTCCAATTTTGATTGCCATCAATGTGGTAGCTCTTACCATCAATTATTTATCTTCTTTAGGTCTATCTCATACTTGCTTAGAAATTTTTTTGGACTACTATCCTCAATGGAACCCAAGGAATTGATATCACTCAAAAGAAAAAGTTGTTGAAGTGACTTTTAATGGTTGTGAATAGAGTTAGTCATTAGCTAGGGTAAAAGTCCACATATATAGGGTTAGTGGGTTGTAGATTTATATTGGTTTTCGATAGTCCTTGCATTTCCGATGGACTTTGTCTTTTAAGGGTCTTATACCAATGAAGTTATGAAGTAGGGCCCAGCCCAACCAATCATGGTTTAAACATATATGGCGAAACATGTAGTAAGTGAAGATGATGATAAGGTTAGAGAGTAGGCACCACCCTGTACAAATCCTGGCCCCTCGGGATATTGATTGTTAGAGCAAAGGAGGCACATGCATCCTTCCTTGCTGTAGGGGAACACATGTGAAGGTGCATCTACTCGGTCTCTCCCTAGTCCCTAATCAAACAAACATCAATGATAATGAATAGGAGCCACACATGTACAAATCCAAACACTTCTCTCTTTCTCTCTCTCATATACATGCATCATTAGATAGGTGCCACTTGTACAAATCCAAACCCTTGGTCTCTCTTTCTCTTGAGAATTTGTGTAAGGTCATAGAATTACAAAACCAGTACTTTTCTAACTAGTTAATTAATTCATCAAAAACTGTCTAGTTGTGGCAATTGTCTCCACCTTTTTAACATTTAAAATATGCTTTAAAGTTTAAAGGGGCCTTAATCATGCTCACTTTGTTGTTGATTGAAGTAATGTCGATTTAAAATTTAAGATCACCCGAATCACAGATAGGGCCCACCAATCTCTGTGTATAAATAAAAATTTACCTAATGGGTCATTATTATATATATATATATATATATATATAGATTAACATAAGATTATTTCAGACAACTTCTCCTATTATACTATAAAATAAATGCATAAACTTAATAATTAACCATTTTTTGTTTCTTTTTGCAACTATTACTTTGGAAGGATCTAAATGGATAAACAAACAAAACTGACTTGATTTTTAATTTGACATCCCCTTGATGGATATGTTCAAAGTATGTTGAGCAATCCAAGCAATGTGGGTAGGACTAAATAATCCCTCGTGTATTCCTAAGTGACACTACCTACTTCAATTAAAATACTAGGTAGAGGTTGGGTGGAGTAAGCTTTAAGTCATGTGAAGTGGGTTCTAGATATTATATATAGTTGATAAATAATTGGTATGAAACTAAGCCTAGATTACAGTCTAGAATGTCTAGAATTTTTAAGCTTTCAATTAATTCCATCTTGTGACTAAAATATCTGAAAAGAGAGACCCGTGAATTAAGTAAAGGGAGATAGGAGGATTCGGTCAATTAATGAGACAAAACTGATGTGAGTGGATTGCATACAAGCTGAGACATTTAGACGGCTACATATACATACCCCAACATAGACATTTGTGTTTGGAAGACCAAATGCACATGACGACATTTTAGTTTAATATCATTAAATTCATATTTATTTCCATGTGGACTTAGCTTAAGGAAAAGGGTTAAGCTTTTGCTCCAAATGACGTGCTTCTTTAGTTATTTTAGCCAACAGTCCCTACATGAACTGCCTTTGAATTTTGGAGGCATTTGTCTCCCAAGCACCTATTAAATGGAATACCCAATGGCTCAAACTCTTTGACAAAAAGAATTGTAGCTTTTTTACTATGTTGTATGTGTGCATTAAGTCATCTATAGAGATTTGAAGCTTAAGGCAAAGGAAACAACAAAAAATTTTGTCATTCAAGGAAGGAAACTTCTAGTATATAAAAATCTAGTAAATGGGTCTGCTTATAGCTGAAATAGTCCCCAAACAGATAACCTAAGATGATGTTTTTTTTTTTTTTTTTTTTCTTAATTAATCTCTTTATAAACCCCATAGCTGCAAGAAATTTAATTTTTTATTTTGAGTGCAGGAGGTAATACTTTATCAATTTATATAAGTAAGTTAATTTGATGGTAATTATGTTGCTGAAGGAAATTAAAAAAACTGAAGGAGAAAACTAAGAATGGAGCCCATCATCAGGCATTGGATCCTTCTGAGAAGTTTCCATTGTTCAGGAGTACTCCAGATTCAACATACCTAAGAACTGGAAGGGGAAACTGATTTTCACCTAGAAAGGTTCCTGTTTCAGTGCAAACCAATTCATGAACTGG